TTAAAATTGCATATCAATTAATAAATAATCACTTGAAAAGCAATTCTAATAAGCTCCAAACCAAAACAAGGAAATCTGCATAACAAGGAGAAAATTTAACACTCAAATTCTATAACATTAATCATGTTTCTGATGCTAGGTAAAACAATTTTTGTCTTACAGAATGACTTGAAGAAAGATAGTCGAGAAATTAAAGATATTTCTATTTTAATGGGATTTGCAGGAAGTAAGTGCAAAGTAAAGATAGATTTTGAGAGCATGGTATTCAAAAAGCTGTCAATTCTATTATCGCGGTTGTTTTTTTGGTTTTGTCTTTTTTAGATCCGGATATGTGTACAACACTATAAAGAATTAGGATGTCTTATGTTTCTCGATATTAGTTCATTTTTCATGATGTTACAAAAATACCAACTAATAACTAAACGAATTCAATGGAGAGTTCATGATATTAACACCGAATCTAAATTATAACCTGCGTTAATGTTGGCAAATAATCAAAGTGACCATTTTTTAAGGCTGAGTCCTCGCAATTAGAATCTGAGGAAATCTTTTTAAGTTTATGGATACACTGTTGTGAATTTACAATTCTTACCCGCTAGCTCATGAAGTAGATGCGTGTTTCTGGTTATTATTGCAAGGTTTTATTTTCCTTTCACCCTCAACTCGTGGCCCGCTGACAACTATTAGCGGTCACGTGAGATTATTTGTGAATACTCATACCACATACCGTTAGGCAACCAGTTACCAAATGAAATAATAAATATTTAACAAGTGTAATTTAATTGCAAATAGATTTCAAAAGAAACTATCAAATAGTTTCTGAAATCATTGCTATGAGAATGAGTACCTGAACAAAATATGAATTGATTTTGGAAAGTTCTCATCTTACAAAATATCCGAGTTGTTATTCATTAAGGATAAAATTATGGTGTAGGATTATTTTTGATGCATCCTGCATGTAGACTTAGTCAAAATAATGCATATTCTCGCCAGCTCTGTTTTTTCAAAATTGGTTAACAGAAATATGTACTTTCATATTCGCAAGATGTCAGTTTTTGTAAAGCGTTCGCTGCAAGCAAATAGAAAGAAATGAAATTTTTACAGAATTTGACGACGCACATTTTGAAAACCACGGCGTGGTAACATTTTCATATGGCGTATAAAAAATTTGCTGACTCGTATTTTTCATTTTTTAAAATATTTTTCTTCCAAATTTTAAATGCTAAATAGAATAGAACCTTACCGAGGCTTATTGTTACGCAGTTGTTAAGATAAATTGGCTCCGTGGTTTGAAATATAGTGGGTGGTATATTCGTTCTGAAAGATTCTATGACGTAAGGGACCTGGCAAATGTTGATTCTTTTCAGTGTTATTTACACGAGATTTTGTAGATCACAGAGCTCCTAATGTTTGAATATGATCCAGTAACAAAACAGGTAAGTTATATTAACAAAGTTTTTTTTTACGTAGTATCGAATTAATTTGAGTATGTAAAATGCTACTGCGTCAGTAGAGACGTGTCTAATTTATGTTTTTAAAAGGCATCTTAAAGCAGAATTTTGGCCAACTCCACTTTTACTTCCTCACTTCTGTTTAGCGCTGCTTTGCCTTCATTAGCTTAGAATTTACAGATTCATTACATGTGACTGAAAACAGAAACTTTCTTTAAGTAATCAAGAGAAAAATAATTTGAGGAAGGTATAATATAGATATTACAATTGACTGTGTTTTACCAAACAATGATACAATTCATCTGCTTGAAGAAAAGTAATAACAGTTAGAAATTTCAGCTGCTTTGATAAGTAAATTCTACACAACTCGAATTCAGGCGGGTCTTCGCCTCTTTGCCTTAGTTGTAACTGAAATTGAATAAAAAGGTTTGTACTTAAGTGTTCAGAAAAAGAAATGACGCCGAGTTAACCAAAGTCTCTGTCAGTCTAAAATATCAACAATTACCTTATCAAATCAATTTTCGTCTTCGATATCGTTCAACTTGATTTCCAAAATATTTGTGGTACATCCAATCCATGAAAAACTAAGAAATGGCGCAACAGAAGTGGGATATAAACAATGTTCTTCTCTCGTCGTTTGCATGTGTTAGCGGCCTACTACTGAGGATGAACTGGACTCAAACCGCAAGTCATATAGGACGTGTTACTGTGGTTGATAAATGTACAGTAACCACAAAATATTACATAGAAATGAACATTTATCTCATTAACCTGCGCTAATATACTTTTTTGCAGATAATAAGATGGAAAAAACAGCCATTGGTATAGTGCTGGTTTTCATTCTCCCATTTGTGCCTAGGCTATCTACGACACTCAGAAAATTTACATGCGGTAAGCGAAAAATGGGCAGTTTGTTTCCACCCCAAAACCATATACTTTCTCATTATTTTTTTTTTGGAGGGCACGGTAACGAATCCTGCAATCTGATTGGTTCTTTATCCAGTCAGTATTTTCCTATCTCTGCCCACGGGTCACGGTAACGCTTTCGTGAGTCGCCGAGTACATCCCAACATTCGTTGCCATTTTCATAAATATATCTCGTTTTCCGGCTGGGCGGTACTTTTAAGAAAACACGTCGGTCCGATAAATAACTTATGAATCCTCTCTTTTCCTTCTCTTAAATCACTTTGGTTAACAGAAAAATATTGGTTTCAGAAGGAATTTGTATAAGCAATAGTATCATTACGTTGCTTGACAAGGGCCTAAAAACCGTCTGCAATTAATTTTAAGCGTTCATAAAAAATACCTAGAAAGTTAAAACGTGAGGTATTTGGTTACAGTTAAACTGAAAGATGGAACTTTCACTCGTTTAATATCTGAATTTTCTCAAACAATTTGTTCGTGGTGAAAGAGCGAGCAGTTCTACAACAAATATACGCTCTCGGTGAGTCTTTCCAAGTCCGTTCAATTTGTACATTTGTGCCGCAAATTGTACAACAGAAACTGAAGGAATTTATTGAGAAAAGGCCCCATTAAATCCCCTCGCGTCTCGTTGGAGTGTGCCATTCGAATTAAGTTCTTGTGGAGGAAAGACCAGATTTACACACGACATTGCAGAAAATAAACCAGCAAATTATCACTACTTCAAAATAAAAAATTTGAATTTACTCACAATTACTTTCCTCGCTGTTTACTTAATGAACAGAGATAAATCTTCGTACATGAATGAATCGTCGATGAGAGTGAATAATACTTTTCCGTTAGATCATTGACTGTTTTTGAAGAAAACATTGTCATGACAGTCCTTGCCAAACTAGTTCCGTTATTTTTCAAATGTTCTTAAGCTTTCTTTTTCTTACGCGCTCTCTAATTGACAGGTGTCAGATTGTGACAGACACTTGTAAAAATAATGTTTCAAAGTTTGTTTGGAAGCCTTTTAAATTACCTTTATCGTTACGCAAATGAAAATTTTTCGGTGAGACATCACTCTTTAATTTGCATCACTTCTATTTTATATAATAAGCTCAGTTATGCACGCATTCTGATTGGTTCTCACTTATGATCTATTGGAGGACAGACGTATAGATGACGTCATCATTAAAACTTTTTTTAATTCTTTATTATATAAAACAAATAGATTCCAAGTTGCCATGCGTCTGTTCAGTAATAGATCATAGAGGACGTCAAAATGTGGTAAGAACATCAGTGACACACTCGGCTGCGCCTTGTGTGCCACTTTTTTGTTCTTACCACATTTTGACGTCATCTGAACAGACGCACGGCAACTTGGAATCTATTTGTTAATTAACTACCATTTACTCGCTCAAAAATTTTTCAGTTTATGGAAGGTCTTGCTGTATTTACAGCCCTAAATCATTCGGGATCTTTCAGAAAGAATTTCGTCAAGTTTAAAAAATATAAATATGTTATTTACCGGCTAAGGGTCGATCCGTATGGTAAAAAAACTGTGACCTCGGTCTTGAAAATGCTGCCCTCGGCCAACGACCTCGGGTAGTATATTCAGGACCTCGGTCACAGTTTTTCACCATACGGACCTCCCAGCCGGCAAATAACATATATTTATTCATCCTAGAGGATAATTTTTCTTTCCAAGTTTCTTTCTTTCTCTCTGACCTTCCTTTTTTCTTTTTCGTAATTCAGGTTTAGTTAATGGTTATCCTGAAGAGTATGACGCTTTGACTTTGGCTGGAAACAAAACGAACAAACTAAATAATGTATCAGTAATCTTCAAACAGTTCAATATCTCAGACAAGATAAATCTATTCAGTAAAGGTAATGTTGTACCTAATTACAAGGTGGTAGAAAAGTAAGTGTAACACCTTTTTTTCTGCTGAAGAGGCTAGAGTCCATTCTTTGACCAAAAAGGTGTATTAAACGTATTAAATTATATACTACTTTTGGTTGTAATTGAAGCCTTCGATAAGTTTCAAACTCCCAACAAAAACAAGCGTCAAAACTTTCGAAACCTTAAACTAAAATCTGAAGTGTCCATCAAGGTGTCCTCGTCAATTTCAATATCAAGTTAATAGTCTCTGAATATGATTGGGTAATCAGTCAGCTCACGCACGCCCGTCGCGGGAAGGAAAAATGTAGTTTGAATATTCATATTCAAGAATCTCAAGAATTATTTAACAACATGGCTCAAATACTTTGCTCATCATCGAGTCGCAATCTGATTGTGAAGAAGTTATTTTTCAATTCTACCAAACCAAAGAAAATTGTTTTGTTATCCTCAATACTTTAGGTAATCCTGTTCTTGTATCGTGGTAATTTTATTAAACCATCTTAAATATCAGGTAATTTAGTGTTAACAACTGGGTTGAAAACATAAATTAGCCACCGTAAAGGGTAAAAAAGCTGACGTTTCGAGCGTTAGCCCTTCGTCAGAGCTATACTCTCCCACCGACGCAGTACCACAGTTTCTTTAGAAACTTACCCCTTTATTCATCTTAAATATCAGTTGAACTTTTCAAGCTGTATCAACAAAAAAGTTATTTCTATCATAGCTTCATTACTTCGTGATGAAAACGTTATTGCGCTTGTGGAAGGAAGTGAAGACAAGATCTCCACATGCGCATTGTCTACAGTGACTGGAATTCCGCTTATTCGTCTCCATGATAACAAAGTCTCTGACCAGTGTGAAAAAGTGATTCAGATGTCAGCTGGATACAAAGACATTGCAACTGCCACGCTCGCTCTGATAAACATGTTTCACTGGGAAAGTATTGCAGTTTTATTTGATGGTAAACAAAACTTTTGTCGTTCGCGCTGACTAGCATAAGACAGACAAACTTCTTAAAATGTTCAAACTTTTCTATTGATTGTCTTGACTACATTTTTAAGCATGAGCACATAATTACACGTATGAATCTTCTTGTCTGTTTCAGAGGATTACTCCTACAAAGCAGCTTTTTTCACCACCATAACCAAGAGATTAAACCTCACTATAAAGTTAGTTCATTTTTCCACGGAGGCTAATAATGAAAATGCAGTATTCAACGCGATGGATGAAATTTACAACCTGGAAGCAGAAGTCATTTTACTTCACATCAAAAAAGAGAACATTGAGATAATACTTAATCAGGTGCTATTCTAATTTTACTGTCTTTGGTTTCTATGCGCCATTTCAATGAACTTTTTCCTGTCTGATAATGAATAATTTCGGAATGCTAAGAGCTGACTCCTCGTCCCTTGGCCTCTGATTAATGAAGACTTTTTTAAAACGAAAAAGTACACTCAAATAAATGATTACTTCACAGCCAATTAATTTGATTGTTAAATTATATGTCTGCTGTGTCTTTTCATTCATTCAAGTATGAATTGATGCATCTCGTTATTGTTCAAACGCTCACATCGGCAACAAACATCTTTTTTCTTTTTCAGCAAAGAACTTGTCAATGCACAAATGTGTACAAGTGGATACTTCAAGGAGAGGTTATTCAATTAATAAATTTTTCGCCACCGAAGAATCTAAGAAGGGGAAAGGTTCTCTCGTGTATATCTAATCCCAACTTTCTGACGTCCCTATAAAGACCAGAAAAAAATCGTTCAACCATAAATTCCACGTAAGCTAGTTTGAGCTTAACTGCTCATATTATGGTACAAAAATGTTAATTCCCTGGCTACTGTTTTGGCTGATTGTTTTTTCAATTTTGCTGTTATTTGTGGATCTCAGATACCATTACACCTGACCTCTGGAGGGAATAACATTGTTTTTGCATTAAAACTTCCCTCCTACTATGAAGAAGAAAATGTCGTCAAAGGCAATAATACTAACACCACGGTAAGTCAGGCAAATCAGAGAGCCCTAATACATATAGACGATAGTAAATAGCCATTCTGAGAGATTTCTCTTGAGGGTTGAAAAATGTTAAATATTTTTCAGCATGAAAAGAGTCGAGAAATTTCGTATCATCTGGAGGCCATGCAAAATATTCTATTTATTATATAAAGATCAATGAAATACTAAATCATTTCACCTTAATTTTTTTTAAAAGTAGAACAACTACCCAATAGCATAACCAGTGATATAACTTAAACATCTTCACTTGTGAAAATACTATGTTTTCGCACGAATGCTCGCTTGGTATTTCATTGATATCTATATAATAAATACAATTATCCAACTTCTCCATAAGATTTTGTAATGACCTTAAAGACGCCGTTCAGCTCAGCTTTGTCAGGACTTTACCAATCCTGGAGCAACCTTAATTAGCCACCCAACGGATAATAACCTGTTTCAAGAAATAAGTCTAACCCTTTTTTAATTCTTTCTCAAACCTGATAACCGCTTCAAGAAAGTGAGCGTGGATCTAATCAAAACCTCTTGGTATATGAAAATACACTCAGAGACTTCTTATTACTTATGTCATGACCCCTTTAACATTTTACCATTTTGCCCTAAGGACCAAGATGCACTCCTGCAGGACACATCCCAAATTATCCATCAGGCTCTCAGCAGGGAAGAGTGTTTGTCAGTAAATAGCTCCTCCTTTGGTTTTAACGAAGCACATAAAATGTTGAGTTGCTTGAAAAACGTAAGCTATCAAATGATTCTCTTGTCATTTCTACCTTGATTAAAATGATCCTAATTGTACTTTTTTTGATCGAAAAATTTTGATGTTGTGTGTCATTTTATTTCAATTGCAAACAGGTCAAATTTGAAGGCAAAACAGGACCTGTTTATTTTGATGAGTACGGGGAGAGAAGAGGAATTAGATTAGAAATTTTGAATCTTCAAAATGATTCTTTGACAACGGTAGGTAAAATTGTTATTATCTTGACAATCATTCTAATTGCGATCAAACCAGTGTTATTGAAAAGATTAACAGCTTTGAAACCTCATACCACAGAGGGCTACGTGGCAAACTTGATAGTTATCTTTTTATCAGATGCCATGAATTTTCAGAAAAAAGATTGCATTGAACGGGTCTGACGAAGATTAAATCCCTATCTATTTGACGAGTCTATGTATAGCCATTTTGAAATGATTAGAGATAACTGATCTTTAGATAGGGACATGGAATTCATCTCATGGTGCCGTGGTTTTTGGGAATGTGTTACGTAATGATGGAAACCCATTGAGCGGAAGGAGACTGGAAGGGAAAAAGCTTAGGGTCGTTGTGGTAGAGGTAAGTATGTCCATGACAAAGTATATGTAAATTTTTTTTACAGACCTTAACTGTGGAATCTACCATAAACGAGACCCCAGTGTAAGGATGAATAACACTTTATTTAATTTAAGCGAAAGATATAAATTAAGAAGAAAGAAAGTAATGTATAACGTTTCCAAAAGCAAAGAAGCGAAGTAAGAGATGAATGTAAGGAGGAATGGACCGAGGAAAGCACTACCATGGTTCACAATTCTTGAAGCTGTGATGCAAAAATAGCAAAAAAAAACCTTTATGCATTACGCAGCAAAAATTGAAACACTTGCTAAAAAAAGTAGAACGCTGATACTAACGAATAGGTCAGACAGATAATAGTAATACTCGAAAATCAAACAAATTAGCTGAACAAGAAGAAATAAAAATGCGTTTTGATCATACAGTATCTGTTTACTTTAATTTTGAAACAGAATGCACCGTTTATAATGAAGAATGAGGACGGCACTATTCCACATTATAAGGGATACTGCATCGACCTTCTCGATGAACTGGCCAAGAATCTCAAGTTTACCTATGAGATCTACCTCTCCCCAGACGGGATGTATGGTGCCGAGTTGGAGAATGGAACATGGAACGGTATGATTGGCGAGTTAGTTGGTAAGGTAATGATCTAACCTCTGCTGCCTAATATATTTCAAATACGCGCTACTGGTAAATGTCAGTTAAAATTATTTCTTGTACTCCATCGTAAGGCCCACACCAACAGAGCTCACAATTACATGAAATAAGTAACATTTAGACCTACGGTTGATATACAACTTAGATAGGAATCCATCCGGGTGGGCTGCAATTGTAGAAATTGCAGAAAAAACGCCTGACAAAAATCAGGCTACGCCGGAATTTGGCCGTGTCTCTTGACTGTTCACAGGTATGGTCTACGAATACAAAACGATGACTTTTCATTGATTTTGACCTCATGATTTAAGATGTGGATTCCACAGTGCTCTGACAACTAGCAGGTCACCACTCTCTTTCATGAATACAAACAGCTTAAGTGAATTCAGAAAGTCATCCCAAATTAAGATTACAAAAAAATATGATGCAGTCATTTGTCTTTCTCTTAAGCGTGCTGACATCGCCGTTGCATCTCTTACCGTTACTGAAAGTCGAGAGAAAATTGTGGACTTCAGCGTTCCTTACATGTACTACTCAAGAGAAATACTGGTCAAGAAATCACCTCACAGTGGAAAAGTTGATTTGCTTCAGTTCATGAATCCTTTTGACATTCAGGTCTGGTTTGCTACTCTCGCCAGCCTGGTCATCATCTCTGTTGCTGTATTTGTGATAAATTACTTCAGTCCTTATGGGTGCAAAGACGAAAATGGCCGAGGAACATCAGAGGAGTTTAACTTCTTCAACAGTGTGTGGTTTGCTTTAGCCTGCATGCTGCAGCAAGGAGGAGATAACACACCGAAAAGCTCATCAGGTGGAAGCTTACATACTAAAAACCACCCGTAGTAATAAAAGGTCACGCATGCTAAGTGAGGAGAGCCAATCCGGCATTATAGGTCAGGAATCCAATTTCTCACCAGAAATTAAAAGAAGTGTTTGGGTTCAATATGACTCTTCATGATTGCAACAGAACTCTCCTTTTTTTGGGCTCCAAAATGAAATAAAGTTTGTATACTATTCCTTTCACTCGATATTCTTACAGCCCATTGATCGAATTCATTATAGGATCGAGGCCACTCGAGCTTGTTCAGATAGTAAAAAATTATTGGGCACGGGTGTTATATGAATATATCTCCTGATATCTTCAACAAAGCAATCCTTTTTTTGCTCAATATCCTCCTTAGGTCGGATTCTGACTGGATGCTACTGGTTCTGCATACTCATAATGATCTCAACATACACTGCCAACCTGGCTGCTTTTCTTGTTGTGAAAGATAATGATAATCCGATTAATAATCTAGAGGACATCGTAAGGTCCACCTATCAAGTAGCTGTCATTGAGTCAGGAAGTACTTATGAGGCATTCAGGACAAGTCAGTATGTAACGCATGAAAAGATTTGGAATAGAATGGTAACAGCGGGGAGTTTTGTCCAGAGCACAGCGGAAGGAATTCAAATGGTGCGAGACAGAGACCAGTTTGTGTTTATTTCTGATGGGCCTGTTCTTAAACACGCCGCACAACAGCCGCCTTGTGACGTCACCACAGGTCAGTGGAGATGAGAAACGCACAGAGAACCATTTACCATTTCTCTAAACAGTCCTGATTTCCTCATTAAGTTAAAATAACTTTTCTCTAACCTATGTTAACCAGTTGTCACCTTTTGATCCCATCCTGGCAAACCCTGACACCCTCCACCGATTGAAAAATCCTTAAGTTTAAATTCGTTCTGATTTGTTTTGGTCTCAGTTCCAGGCCTGAGTACGGCCCTCGGACTTGCGTTTGCTTTTCAAGCAAATAGTACAGATGTTGATGACGTCACATTGGCTATTCTACATCTTCACGAAAACGAATTCCTTGACAGTTTAAAAAGGGAATGGTGGGAATACAAAGATGAATGTCCTAAAAAGCAGGATACAAGTAAGGATTTCAATTCCTTCTGCACGAGAATAGCTTTTAATATCCAAATTATGTTAGTTCTCCATCATCCAACATACTATCTGGTTCTTAGGTTTTGGCCCAGTAAGTTTTCACGAATCCGATAAACCATCATTATTTCTTCATTTTTCACTTTATAAAACTCTGTAGTTGGAGCTCCTTCCACAATATGTTTTCTTTCTTTCAGCTTTGACTCGAAAGCGAATTGATCTCAGAAGCATGCTGGGAGTGTATGTCGTTATGAGTGTCGGATTAATTTTAGCATTGATGGCGCTGACTGCAGAGATCTTTTGGACAAGGATGAAAGAGCGCAAGATAATAACCCAAAGGTTGGTCAGAGTTATTGGAACAAAACAAGACTCTGCTTGGCAGAATGATATCAACTATACATGCATGATCTGCTTAAGAATTTAACGAGGATATGAAAACATAATCATTTGTGGTCAGCACCTAATTTTGCGGTTTTAAACTTGTCATCTTGCTCTTCCTGGTAAAAAGAGAAGTTCCTCTCTTCGATAAGTAAAAGTTGTTAATACTTTTCCCGCATCCTTTTTTCCTTTTCCAGACCAAAAGATCGTTCCATTGAAGTCAACCAAATCGCACATCCTGATTAGTCTAAGCCGACCAATCAAAGCCTGCACGTGGCTTAGTTTCAAGGAGAGTGAATGAATAAGCAAACCATTTCAAGGCAAGGATCGTGACAAATACATGATGTCATCAAAGCAGTTGTGAAGTGTGCTTCACAATACAACCTCCCTGAGCACCTTGGCTTTTTTTTCGTTTCAGTCAGTTTGCCTTCTTTTTCTCGCAAATTGTTTTCTCAATATGCTTCTGTCGTTTTGGGCTTAATTTTCGTCAAATTGTGGCTCATAGTCCAGAAATAAACCCATACAAGAAAACATTATAAATAAATTCAATGGACATACCATTTTACCATAAGTCTTCATTATTCTTAAAGTTTGCGAAAGTTGCTAAAACTCGCGCCAAATTTTAAAGTCAATTATGTAGACGAAAACAATTTAAAAAATAAACGGATTCAGTTTTTAATAGTGCTTTTAGCTGTCTTTATTGTTAGTTTCAATCACTCGTGATATCATATTTGGATAAGTTTCATCTCGTTTTTTTTCTTCAATTTTAAACTGCCAAAGTTAGATTGTACCACTCCAAACCTCACAATTAGAATATAACGTGATAGAGTTATTAGATCTCAACAGATAATCATTAAACTGGCACCACAGTCCAAGTCTGAAAGCTAACAAAATCACGCAGTTATGTACAAAGCAGGACGACGATAGCATAGCTATAGCTCGAAACGTCAGATTTCCAAACATCAATAAGATAGTAACAATCTTCATCAACGTCAAGTTGAACTAACCTTTGATCCAAACTCCTAATTTAATTTTCTACCCCAACCCACCTTAAGATTTATATTAGGAATAACTTTCATTTAAAGTAGAAGCAACAACAAAAAACATGTGTACAATTATGTTATCTCAGAAGGTCCTGGGCGAATTTTCACTGAACGAAGTTTTGTCCTGTGGAAATAATCAAAGAAAAATGTAAGAATTAAATCAGTTTGTTTTTCAACAGCGTTAAAAACAGCATAACTTGTGCATCCAACTCATCCTCTTAGCTGATCTTTGCTGCAATCATTATCAAACACAAAGTAAAACGTAACTTTGAGCAACCAAAGCAATCTTGCCCGTTCAGGAAAAACATCGACTACGAGTTCAGATGTCCTAGAATGACTCCATACAAACCTGTGCAGCTTGTCTACCAGCGCTTGTTTAGCTTTTCTCTTCCAGTAAAGTTCCGCCACAAGTGTCATGAATGCTATGATCATTCCAACAGCTAAAACAATGTACACACCCAGCATACTCATAATACCAATTCTTTTTCGAGACAAAGCTAAAATAAAAATAGGGAAACATGATTGGTACAAACTGAATATCATATAGCGCAGCGGATTTTGTACGTTGGCCCGTCAGCTTTCATTATGGTTTTGTATAGGATTGCACGCGCGGGGCCGTATTAGCCACTTTCTCAACATCCCCAACATTGAGTGCGCAATACTAAAGCTGTATTGTTTCATTCGGCAACAGTCAATCTTAAGTCTCATAAACTACTTTAAACAGTTGACACTAGTCATGTCAGCTTAAGGATTAAAAAGTGCTGATGAACACTTCTCGCTTTGAAGTTAACCCTGACGTCACAGATAATACACATCATTAATCATATTATGACGTTACAGATAACTACAATAACCCAGGAGTCTTTCTCCGTTGTTAACCAGAATTATGAACTCCTGGCATTATTGCTTCAATTTACTTAAGACGAACGTCTTAAGTAAAAAAAAGGTTTGAAAACGAAGCAAGCTATGGTGGAAGTGGCTCCAAGGAGGTCCGTCATGTCGCTTATTACTGAAAGATCAAATAGACAACAAAGACCTGCGATAGCTTCCCATTTAACAACTGAATCTGTTTTGGAGGAATCGTTGATATGTTTAATATGCAGCACAGGACAACTGGAGATTAAAGACGGGGACACTGCACAAAGCAAAGCCGAGACCTGCAATTTGTGTAAAGAACACGGCTACGACGGAAACAGACAGGAAAATGAGTTTTTCTGCATATTTTGCTATGAAAAACGAAGATGCAAAAAGGAAAAAGCAAGAGCAAATCTTAAACGGCGAAATACCTTGGTGGAAGAAAGTGTTCATGGGGCCGAAGGATCGTTGAAGAAAATGAAAATCTGCGGTGACACACAAGCTCGGAGCAAAATGGGAGCAGGTCAATCATAATGTCCATGATGATGACGATGATATCACTAAAGGTTATTTTATGATCATGCAACAATTGCCTGCTTATTTAACGAAAATAGACTGCAGACAGCCATCATCGAGGCAACAAATCATTCTAAGGACTTACTACAGGTAGCTGAAGAAAGCACTTCAAAAAAAATTTTACATACACGTTTCTTCTTCGACTGGACATTTATTCGTACTATCCCACCACTTCCTTTGCAAGCTGGTGAGAAAATCGTTCTCATGCAGACGCAAAATGGCCAGAGTAAAGTCATTCACGTGTGGATCATTAGCTTGGAAGGCGAGTGCAAGTCCTTTCGACGTGCTTAGACCTGGAACTGAAACAAAAATAAACCTAAGCTGTTACTCATTGTGATTATTTATTAATCAAATGATCAGATCAAATATCGGTCTTTTTGATAAATATTTCAGCTAAGCTGATACCAAAATGACAAGTCTTGGGTACGAATAACAGGATTTTTGGAATAAGCTTATCTAATCGTTTCTTTTGTTATAAATTTAACATAAATTTGGAAAGAATAGCACCACTCCACTTTAAGCGGCGAGTTTTTAGGGAGACGATTTGCGTCAAGTTATAAATCTCATTACCAGGTAGCTTCCATTAATTAAGCTTAAGTATTTACCAACTTGCAGGTCACAGGGTTTTTTGTTGGCGATATGTTGAAGAAACGGCCCGTCAGTGATAAACGCGAACTCATCTTTCTCTCTCACCCACTCAACACCTTGCGCTGTATTTTCAGCAAGGGTACCCTCCGATTTTATTTTGTGCCAGATTTTTTTGTGTGTTTCGTAGCCGCTCGTCTCGAAGAACTCTGAAGTGCTGGATGAGTCGAGTATTCCCACCGAATACGATGATTTCACGATGTCCTCTAGGTTATTAATCGGATGTTCGGCGTTCTTTACAGTGAAGAAAGCGGCCAAATTGGCAGTGTATGTTGAGACCCAGATTAATATGCAAAACCAATAGCAACCAGCGAGGATACGACCTTAAGAAATAAGCAGCATCATCACAAATTATTACAGCATGAAATTATTATGACTCAAGGGAGATAATAAACACTAACAAGCGAGAAACTCTGGCCGGTAAAGTATACTTCCCCACCTGATAGGCTCTTTGGTGTATTATCTCCTCCTTGCTGCAACATACAGGCCAAAGCGAACCATACACTGTTGAAGAAACTAAACTCCTCTGATGTTCCTCGGCCACTTTCATCTTTGAATCCATAAGGACTGTAGTAATTTATTACAAACACAGCAATAGAGATGACCACGAGGGTAGCTAAGGTAGCGAACCAAACTTGATTATCAAACGGATTCATGAACTGCAGCAGGTCATAATTTTCCTTGGATGATGTTTTTTTCAATAGTATATCTTCAGTGTAATACATGTAAGGTACGCTGAAGTCTACTACCTTCTCTCGACTTTCTGTTACAGTGAGCGCTGCAACGATTATATCGGCGCGCTTTGAACAAAGAAGAATAGCTGGTTAGAATTGCAATATTTCCTCAGTTTCCTTATAAAAAGTCTTTCTTTTAAGTGATAAGCTAGTTATTTCACCGCCATATTTCCGTGGATTATCAGAGAAACCTTACACTCTGTTCAGTAGCTTACCCATGACCTTCTACCTATCCAGTTTAACAACACTGTCACTGATCAGTAAAATCTTCGTCACAAGAGAGTGACTTTACACAATGCTGAGGGTCAGCATCCTAACTATTATTTCTTTCTTATATCATTGTTTACTTAGTGAAAAGTATCATTTATGAAGTCTTACCTCATTTACAATCTCCTTCATCGTTCCACTCCAAGTTCCATCTTCATTTTCAGCACCATACTTGCCGTCAGGAGAGAGGTAGAGCTCATACGTAAATTTAAGGTTTCTTGCCAGCTCATTCAGAAGATCAATGCAGTATCCTTCGTAAGAAAATCCGCCGTTTTTATTTTTCACCCTCATCACAAAGGGAGCGTCCTAGGGTTAGAGAAACAGCGCCAGAACCTTTACAATAGATCTAATTTGCATTCGAGGATACCCTAAAGATCATGATTTGACACCAACATATTACTAATATTGTGATAGAAAAACGTCTCCAAATCAAATAACTTTCAATCAAGCGTGAGGTCTTCTTGGTTTCTTGGTCTCCCATTCCACTGACACGACTTAATTTGTTAATCATATGAAAATAATGAATATAAATCAAATTCAGTCTGTTTCATTACCAGTAAACCAACAGCCCTGAGCTTTCTCCCCTCTAAGGTTGTTTCTGACAGTGGGTTATCCATGTTACGTAGGATATTTCCAGAAAACACGGCGCCCTTAGATGAATTCCAGGTACCTATCTAAAAAAAGGGGAAAAAAAAACGCAACAAAGACGATATAAAGTGAACTTGGTCGAAGATCCTTTGATAGAATGAGTTGAAATCGTCTCCAAATGCCTTGAGATGCCTGAGCGATTTTGTTTGAAAATTGCTTCACCCAAGCGGCTGTGCTGATACATTCGGCCCTAACATCAAGGACGTTCAGGTCGCCTTTTATGTCGAGATCGCAAATTTTTGTTAAATGTGCCTGTTTCTTTTGCGTTTTATAAAATCAGAAAGGGAAAGTTGAGATAAGTCCCAATCACCCAAAGCGTCAACTAAATTAACTAAATATTCGAATCATTTCAAACATCTCAAAACAAAGAAAAAGAAATTGGATCTAATTTGAAGCTTGAGATACCTACTTTCTTAAAAGAATTGTTACGAAGATTTAAAATTTCCAGTTCAACTCTTTTACGTTCCCCTTGCTCGTTAAATTGGAGAAATCCTGTAGTTCCATTGAGACTGACCTGTTTTGGAGATATGATAGAATAGATAAACTTCAGTTCGATGAATTAAGCTCTCCCTGGATTCTGAAAAGTAAATTGACATACTTCTCATGCTACTAAGATAGATTCTAAATTGTACCATAGAAGTGACTGAGAAGACTAATAGAAGCAATCCAAACAGTCTTTACCATCCTCAAGCATGTTAACATGGCTTTGGTTGCTTCAGGACCAATATCAGACCCGTTGATTGATGAACAAGGCTCTATATTTGCTGCTTTGTTGATGGTCTGGACTGCATCATAACTAACTGCCGCCAATTGCTGTCGTGATAGGAAAGTTAACGATATTAGTTTCTTCGTTACGTTTGGGAAGGAGAACAGATACGAATGACCTACGAAAACTGAATGTCGTTCAACCCGTAACGAGAGACCCGCTCTATACTCCGAACCTAACGAGTTTCTGCAAGACAATGGTCATTCCCTCTAATATTCAAGATCCTTTTTGTTGAAAACATGCTGATTTTCTTGTTTGCTTTTGTTTTTTTCTGTAGTATACATTCATTACATATGGATAAGCTGCTATTCTATTGTATTCTTGAGTCGTTCCTTATAGGATCTAGTAATAAAAGCAAATAAATGAGTAAGTTTTAAAGAACTGCGTCTGTAATCGTGAATATTACACTTAGCGAGGGATAAGACTATATGTGGGGTCCTGTTTGTCCATAGGAGCAGCAAGCAGAGATAAAAAATACATTTACATATTAAACCTGCCTTGTCAACGGAACTGCTGGCCGAATAATTTCCAACTACATGCTTTAGAAGATCATTAACTGTGTGGTCATCGTACGACAGCTTCAAAGCTACCACAGCAAATTGGTAGCAGGTTAAATTCAAAGGCATTTGCACCTATAGAGTAATGAATAAAACCCCGTAAATTTAGGTTGATTTGACCGTGGCCACACGGTTTTCATTTAAAATCAGCCACCAAATGCTGTTTGGATTTGAAGTAGTATATTGAACTGCAGGGCTTAAAATTCTATTTGCTACACTGAGTTGGGATCAGTTTACCCTTCTTGGTTACGTTGTCCTCCGCTATCTGTCTATTCAGTGTTTGGTTTCAGTATTCATTGACTGTAAAATTTTGTATTGAAGTCTTAAAATTTCGTTTATCAAACCTGCCCTTGGATAATCCAAATATATGTCTTTCTGTGGTTGCAAGGCTTCTATGATAAAATAAAAGATGTTTTCAAAATTATAAAGCTCTCGCTTTGAAAATTATCCTCTGATAAATCACTTTCATGGTGAGTCAAAATGCATAGGGAAAGTAAGACATTCTTAAGAGAGTAAAATTTGAGAATTTTATAACCTGTTGTAGCATTAGCTGAATGTTTTTATTTTCCATGTAGAGTACAACAATTTCAGCATCAAAGTCCTTTACTTGCTCTACTGCTGATTGTATCGCTGCTGTTAGTCCTTCATCTTGTCCCTGCTCATAGAGTTGAACTAAATTCACAGTCAGCTGTAATTTTTGGGTGATGGCGACGAAAAAGCCAGCCTCGTGCACATGACGCTCTAAACAACAATACACACAAAAATGACAGTCACGAATTTATAACACTTAGAGACTGACAGGGCCATAAACTAGAATATTTGGTGAAAACACTATTTATACAGGTCGTAAGTAAAGAATTTGATGTTTAATAGCACCAGGAATATACGGTTGATCGTGATGAGAGTTTTTGCTCACGAGTTCACTATAATTTAGACTGTTCGTGCTTAAAACAACGGTGAATGAAGCCTCGTTTACCTTCATAAACAAGAACAATGTTTTTCCATCCAAAGGTATTCACTATGTCACGTGTTGCACGCGCATAGTCATTGTATCCCGCTGACATCTGTATTGCTTTTTCACAGTGGTCCAACGGTCCACTATCATGTCGCAGACGAATAAGAGGAATACCGGTTACCGTCGACAGTGCGCATGCGGACGTCGTTGCTTTACTTCCCTCAATAAGTGTAATGACGTTGCTTTCGAAAATCGTCGTGGCTGAAATAAATGGGTTTGCAAACATCGTATATCTTTGAATGGAAAAAATATCTTTAGAATAATCGGTAAGATTAACAAATAAAACTTTCTCCTACCTTGATTAAATAGGTTCAGAGCGTCTGAAGTGTTAAATTTCTTTAACACCACTGAGACATTACTCGAACTGGAGGCGTTGTTGAAGACTGAGTTCACTGCATGAAACTCATCTAAATGACCAACAATAAATCCTGTATAAATTGGATAAAAAAGAAGGTCTGCAAATGAGCTTCAGTTTATTGTGTTTTAAACACGTTCGATAACTGTTAGGGATTGTTTTTAGAATTTTATGATGGTGTTCCTTTAATAACGATCTATATGGTATTACAATAAATTATTGTATATATAATCCTAGAGGATCAGTTGCTAAGAATACTTTATCTTATAGTTTGTTTTGTGGTAGATACAACTGACAATCCATGATGAGCTATAATGATAACTTACCACAAGCGAAGTTCTTCTTTGTTGCATAAATCCTTTGCAGTAATGACACAATAACGACTACCTCAAAGAGAATGGCTCTTGTCTTCATCTTGGGGTTCTAGATAATCAGAGAATGAATAGATAAAAGTTAAACAAGGAGGTAAATACACAAATAAATACAGATGGATATGACCAATACTAAAACAATAGTTCAGTTAGAACACTTAAGACTAAAATCAGTAACAAAAAATTGATTAATAAAACAGATAAGAAATATTGTCTCTTTTCAAGTTTTGTAAAGGATTGCCTCTTGAATGTTGCTATCCAGTGATTCGTCTTGAATATCTTTTGAGCAAGGAAGTAACAATTGAATTATATTCTACCTTTCGGGCCATAAATAGATTAACTTGGCCAGAAAATAATATGTATTTGGACGAATAAACTGCAAAAAACATTTCTTGGAAGATAAGCCAAAAGTAGATGAGGATTATTTCTTGAAAACACAAAAGTACTACTCCGTTAGGTACTCTGATTGTTATGACAAACCCCCGAGGAGAGCTGAAAGCTTATTTTTATCTCTGCCAGATTGTTCCAGATAATTACAAATGTCCATTTATAAGTGAAGCAATAAAAAAAAATTAAATTATCAGAATCTTGAAAGATGCAAAATTCCTTAAAATAAAGAAGTTTGTCATTCTAGTCTTTTTCTGCAGAAACAACGGGCATTTTAATAAGTTGAAGAAAACACCTTTCAAAGGTCTTCAGGGCGATAGAAATGTTTTGGTTCAAAATAAAAACAAAAAATTAATTAAAAAAAACAAAGCGTATCTAGCAAAATTGATATTTGCCGCCGGATTTCTTCGCACATCAATATTTTTTTATCCTTGTATATACTGAAAACATATGACAGACATAGAACTAGTGGAGTTCACGCCGTCTGAAATTTCATTCCATCTTAGCTAATTTTAATTTCGTCTAAGGCAATTATCGCCTGATGATGAATAATTAATTACAGCAAGAAATTATGTTTTCCTTGCACCATAAAAATGAGGGCTAATGATAATGAATAAACTAAATAAATCATTCCCTGGTTAACTGAGAAAGTAAAATATTTTTCCGTTATGAGAGGAGGCTCCTTTGTCTGATTCTTGAGAGAAATGTTCCTTGTAAGTCTTCTTAAAATGTGTCGGTCTCAAATAAACGTTTGTCATGAAATTAGTCACAAGGGCATGGTGGTATGTCCTCAAAATAAGAATTGCTAATTTTACGGTTTAGCTTCAAGTACGAGGGCAAATTTATCAAATAGCATTGAAATCTGTAAAGTAATAAACACAGTAACTACAATGGTTGTTTTTCTTTGACATTGGCAGACAACACAATATGTGACACTTTCATCTTTACAGAACGAGACAAAGGATGCAGTAGTTAAGTTCAGAGTTCGATATCTCTGCGACCCGTTAAAATGTCTGGAAATGAAAATGACGAAACTCTACATACTTTCAAGGATATTTTGATGACAAATTCCGTGAAAACCTTTTTTTTGGAAATTATTGGAATAGACTCCATATCGTCCAAGACCGACGAAAATCCAATTTGCGAAGTTAATTTGAGATCCAAGGTATGAATTTCTGGTCAATCCAACCCCAGCGCTATCGGCACTATTTCAAAATCCATAAATCTGTTTAATTTGTCACAATTAATTCTCGCACTTTTCAAGTCTAAATCCATCGATCCGCAAAACTCTTCGTCCTGCCACCCTTCGGCAGCCATTGTAAAACACTTAAGATAACTACGTGTTATTCAACAAATAAATCCACTTATGACTTACATCATTGAATTCAAACATAAAAACATACAAATTAACAAAACTGACCTGTTATCTTCATTAGGTTTACTGATCTCTTATTTATCGAACCCGATCTTCCGACGAAAATTTTGCGCCTTTCGTAGAGTTGAAAAACAAGTTTGATACAAATTAAATTTGAGCGCCGGGAGTCTATATATAGAGACACCTGTCAGTTGAGTCTCAAGTGGAAATTGCAGATAAATTATTTAAGAGCCAGGTTGGGCATCTAACAACTTTCATGATAAATATTCAGAGGGTCTTTCAAAAACTTGTTATTTCACAGTTCGTTGATTCTCTTAAATTTTTCCCCCCAAATTTTTCGAGTTTGTATCGAATTTCGCCTAAGAGAAGAATTACCCAACACTACAAAATTCAACACCAAAAATTGGAAGTTTTGCTGTGGGGAATTTCACAAGAACATTAGACTGGTGCTGAAAAACGTTAGATATGCAGAAATAGGAGACTGAACCATGATTGAAACCGTGAAAGTGTTTATCAGTCTCTACTTTAAGAGCACTACCAGCTCTAATTAACCTGCATGACTTTGTGTTCTCCGCAGCAAACACTATGAGGTATGTGAAGCAGCTGATTTCCTTTCTTTACCTCAAGCTTCAAAACATCAGATGCCAATACTTAACCCACTGACTATATTTCCTCTCTTCATTCAGTGGCAACGAACATAGGATTTGAAGGATATTCCCCGAAATCGTAAAAGCCCTCTAACGATTCTTTAAGTATTTTGTTGATAATTAACAAAAAGGTGCGCCACGCAAATACGCTATTTTGCTAATACTGGCGTGCAGATGAATGCTGGAATTGGCCGAGCCAGTACCAGGTCACTCAAGGGGCATGTTGGTTTTCCTTCGCAAAGGCACAATATTTAGAAAACTGTAGAAGTGTGGAAGACATTTCAAGAAATCCCAAAGTAGAGGACTTTAAAACATTTCTTAAAGAAAGGGATATTAATCTTTCTGGCGACAAGAAAAGCCAGGCCGAAAAAGTTTTTGGCGCGGTTACGTTAGGTTTGGAAACCCTACCTACGCGTGCTAAAGAAGAGGAAAGGAAGAGGCAAGGCAAAACTGAAAAATTGTCGTTAGAAGACGCACTGATATAGCTACCATCCCTACAGAAACTTCAAACTGGTTAGGCGATTGGAAGCGAGAATTTCCCTGATACCACCGAGGAAAACGTTGAGAAATATTTAGCCGATAGAGCCCCAAAAGCACTCCTGAAAGGATCGTGTTTAGAGGAGTCGGGACACGTCACTGATATCACAATATTAGTAATAATGTCCGGTACTGTTTTGTCCGTGGTAAAGTCATTCTGCAAGAACGCACAGATAATGCACCATACGAGCTTTAGGTGCTTCTTAACAAAGAAGGTACTGTTGTAACAGGAGAATGTTCGTGTGTAGCTGGGTAAGTACACAAATTTTAGTTGAAGTTCAAAAGCAAAATCTCTTTCGCTTTGCAAGGATCCCTATGTTTCTGCTATATATACATTAAGAATTTGCAAAAGGCTCTTGACAAACATTTCACGTCATGATAATAGTGTTTAGAGCCTGTAGTTTCCAACATTTCATTCCCATCAACACAGTGACATGCTTCTGATAATTTGATTTGTTTTCTGAGGCATTGTTAAATCACAGGAAGGCCAAGAAAAGACAATACTTTTTGTCTATATGAAGGCATTTATTTTGCTGCAGCTAATATGAACATATGCTGATAGCCATAAAAGATATGCATAGTCATATGATTATAAATACATTGGACCATCTTAAAAACTATAGGCATGCACTTACTTCTCAAAGGCTTTTTTTTTCATTTCTTTAACAGGTTAGCTGGAGTGTGTAAACAAGTGGGGCACTTTTGTACCATATTTCTCCAGAAGTTAGAAAGGGAAACAACAAAACATGCACATGAAAACCTCAGGCCTGGGGGAGACCTTCAGCTTTGGCTAAGAAACGTTACTCTGCCAGCAGATTATCAAACATCCAAATAAAGAAATCCAAGGCGCACAAAGGCAACTCCTTTGTCCCTCCCGTGCACCGTTACTAGGTCTGGATATGGATATATGCAATAGAAGAAAGACAGCCCATGATATTGGACCAGGATGAATTGAAACACCTAGCAGCTCTAACAAATGGTAGATGTGGTATCCTTCTTAATTCCGGCTATCCCAAGAGCCAGTCAGAACCTGATATAAATGAGTTAGCTGGCGGAGAAACTGTTCAAGCGTTTGATGAGCCTTTGCCAATTTCAGATCAAGCTGCCATGATACATGCGCAGTGGCCAAATAGTTCAGTAGAGGTAAAAATAAGAAATTTCTTCAGGCAGTTGTTTTTATCAAATGAACTGCAACAGCGAATTGCCTCTCTTACGAAATGGCTGTCTAAGACCCTGGAATAGAACAAATACAGAAAGGGTGTAATAACAGCTACCAAACTACAAGTAATCAGAAAATATGATGATGACCTTCATGTAAAAAACTTGGAATCTGCCAAAAATCTTATGGTTGACATTCTTCATTACAAAACCACAGCACAAACCAAGGCAATGAGGTGGAGTTTTGCAAACGAACTTGTTGAAAGGGAACGATATAGAAAAGTAATGAGTGCTGCACATTCTAAATTTAACCTTGAGGAAACTGGTCTGGTAGTGTCATTTGACACACCCTACATTTGTTGCCAGTCCAGATGCATTGGTAAGATGCAACTGCTGTGGGAGGGTATTGCTGAGTTCAATACAACATGAGTCACAGGGAAAAGACGATTCGAGAATTTGCTGCGACCAATGGAACTTGTTTGGAAGTAAATGGAGAGGAAATCAAACTAAGTAGGAAATATTCCTATTACTACCAAACACAGATGTTACTTGGAGTCACCAAGAAATTGTTTGACCTTTTTTTAGTGACTTCTGTGGAACACTATCAAGAACGTATTAAATTGAATGAGGAGTTGTGGAAGTCATGTCTTCCAAAGTCGAGAGCATTCTTACCGAATCATTTACTTGCAAAGTCAATTAAGACTTATTAGTTCTTTTTTTTTTTTTTTTGACTCGTCTCAAATCTTCCTGCTCGTAGGCTAGCGTCTAAAGAAACTTTTTACGAAATTCCGTAAAAAGACGCTCCAAACGACTCATGGAGGCGAAAAAATACCACAAATGCACCGATTAATATCTCATTTCACTTAATCGAGATATTCAGACCGAGATGTAATTTAGATACGCAATTTTCAGAGCTTTATTTATAAACTTCATAGATTGTGTTCGTCTCAGTCAACAATAATCAACCACGAACACATGGTGTAATGTGCCTGTAATGTTAAGAAACCGGCTCTTTATAGTGGCCAATTGCAATTTACTTTGTCAAATCAGTTGATAAAACCAAACTATCCTAAGAAAAGTATGGTCTGTCTGTGTCCGGTACAATGCTCACCAAAATGAAAAACATAAAGGACTTACGAGTTACAAGTGTAACGTCAGAAACTCTGAGTTACTTTCTGGGTCTCATCAAATAATGAGTCTAGTAACAGGGCTGGCTTGGTCAGCGGGGTGAATTTTGCATCTCTGTAAATATGAGAAATTTTATTCACGGACGGAGAAATTTCAGCTCACTCAGTTACCTAATACCAGGCTGCAGTATGCACATTGACATAACTTAGGTTATGGGCCACTCCAATCCTCATGTGGACAAATCGCGATTTTATGACCTGTTTGTCAGGGTGCGCATTGAAATGAGCTCGGCTTATGAGCATAACCGCCTCTCTACGACCTTTTTCTCTGCTCTACCATCCACACCCCGGTCACGCAAACCAAAGAGTGCCCCAGTCAAACAGATTGAAGAGGGAGCTGAGGACTAACGCGAAGTGTTTGATTATCAAGCTGTGAGATACAGGTGTCAAATCGCTGTCGTTTCCCATTGTCGAAGGCAAAAAGCAGAGCGCAAGGCTGAGGAACGCGACAATCGCAAGACGTATTCGTCACGTGCTATTATTGTGTTTGGTGCAAAATTTATTATGCAGTTGATTTTACGTCCGATCTTTTTTGGGTGATTTTGGTCGAATTTCAGGGCTATACCCGTTAACCAAAATCACAATCTTAAATTGATATGAAGGCTTTCTACAGCAAGAATAGAGGGTATCTCTCACGCACATTATCGGCAAATCGACAGAAATGAAAAAGCAGCTCTTCAGGGAAGACAGACTTAAATGAAATAATCCTAAAATGCATGCAAAAAATAAGAAAAAAAGGGAAAAGTTGTGAATGTGAAAGTGGCTTTGGGAGTTCAACGCCACCAAGAAATTATAACCTGTTCGCTTAAAATATTACAATAGCAACGTACGCCAACCCGTTGTAAAGGTGATTTCTCTCAACACTTGCCTCTAACTAACGGTGTAATTTTGCCCAGTTGATATGTGTTTACATATTTGTAAGATTTTACACCACATATTTAATTAATATATAATATATATATATATATATATATATATAATATAATTTAATAATTTTATTAACCACAGGCAGCCCAAGCTCCAACTGAGAGATGATCATCTTGCGAAATAAGAGTTGTGGTGAAAATATAAGAGTTTGTTTGGGAATATTTACGAACGCTCTTAGGAAGTAAAAATATAATCAAATTCTCATTTTATAAAATTCTTCCACAATGCATCGCTTGCTGTCAGACCACTTACTATGTTAAAAAGCAGCCATTTTAGCGGGTTATCTATTTCTAATTTTACTACTCTTGGAGAATAGTAAACTAGAAATGGATGACTCGCTTAAATGGCTTCGTTGCAACACAGTAAGCGGTAACAAAACAAGCAATGCACTGACAAAGTTAGGTGGGGTATCAGTTTTACTGAGAGTTTGACTGAATTTTTTTTTCCTGAGAGCGGTCGTAAACATTCCCATACAAACTCTTATATTTTCCCCATAACACTTATTTCGTAAGATCTTCAAGCTGGAGCTTGGGCTGACTGTGCGTTAACTAACGGCGTGATTTCTTCCAGTTGGTGAAATTCACACTGTAAGATTTAACGCCGTTAACAACCAACGAAATTTCTTCCAGTCGCTGTAAAAATTTACGCTGTTAACTTACATCAAAATTTGGCTCGCTCGGTATATAAACATACTGTAAGATTTTACGCCGGTAACTAACAGCGTAATTTCTTCCAGTCGGTATATATACATATTGTAAGTGTTTACGCCACTAACTGACGGTGTAATTTCATTCAGTCGATATAAATGAATACTGCAAGATTTTACGCGATAACTAACGGCGTAATTACTTTCAGTCGGTAATATAGATACTGTAAGATTTTATGCCAGTGACGGCGTAACTACTTCCAGTCGGTAAAGTATTCCGTTGTTAACTAACGGCGTAATTTCCTCCACTCGGTAATATATTTACTGTAAAATTTTACGAATATAATTTTATTACATATTAATTTATTATTATTATTATTATTATTATTATTATACTGACGCAGATAGTGGCGTAAAATCGTAGATTCTATAGGTCCCATTTACAACTACTCGTTTCAGTAGTGTTCTTAGCTGCGAGGATCTCCTAATTTCATCTATAGGCTGTGTTAACGCCGTTATATCCATTAAAGGCCGCACGGGATGTTTTCAAGTTAGTTAGTTTTCAGTTCGCATGCGCAGGTCGTGTTCTGGCCTTTTTAAAGCATGAAAGTGTATTCAGACAGGCTTCCAAATCCTGCTGACCTTTGAGCGATTTCATTGTATGCCCCTTCAAGTTCCGATTGCCTTCCCTCGACGGAAATAACTGAGATTTGGTCCGCTGCAAATCATTTCGATTCTCATGCGAGTAAAGTGAGCGGCTAATTGTTCTTGAATTATCTGAGTTGTTTTTTTCGGATCCTGAACTGTTCTGGCGATAATATCACGTTTGATACAAAACTAAGATTGTCATCTTGTTCAATATCTAATAATACTCCATTGTCTGATAAAACAATTGATTTATCTTGTCCTTCATCTCATTTTACGGCAGGAAAATTCATGAAACCGGACAGAGCGCGGCGAAAGGTTTTGCAGTATTATAAAGAAGGTCGGCCCGTCTGCCTGATTACTCAAACTGAACTACACCATCATTATGTTTGACTGCGTATATTACAAAGGACTACACTCTATTATTTGCCAAGAATACAGATTCAGGCCGACTCTAAAGGTCTCCCCACAGTCCGGAATTTCACACAGCTTTTGGTGGCTTTATAAAATTTTCATAACTATGGAATTGCAACCAGTTGTGACCAATCCAAAGAATTACAATGCAAGCCAGTCTACCATCTGGCCAGTCCTTCAGTTAAAGAATCTCTAAGTGTTAATTTTGACATTTCATTTCACAAGAAACTACACTAAAGTATTGACGCGGTTTAACTGCCCTGTTGACAGTCTTGTTTGACTGATAGCTGTCGCTTTAAGAATATCAAAGTATTACGTCGGTCCCTTGAGTAAATAATTCTGACCAATCTGAAGCAGTGATGCAAATCAAGAGCGATTATCTTGTCATTTGGCGGTTGTTGATCAAACATTAATACTTGGGTTGATTATCACTCAAGCATCACAGGACGTAACCGCCTTATGCTCGTTGTCTTCGACGTCTTCCTGGAATTTCAGAGCAAAAGCTACAATGTCTCTTACAAAACTGAAAGAAAAAATGACCAAATTAAAAGACGATACTGAGCAAGCAGAAGAGAGAGAGGCTGACGCAAAATCTTTGCTGAAAGATACAAATGAAAAGGCTGAAAGAGACCAGAACGAGGCCGAAGGATTAAAGCGAAGGATTACGCTGCTAAAAGCTGATCTTGCGAAGACAACAGAGCGCTTGGAAGAGGCGGAGGGAAAACTAGGCGAGATCACCCAGAAAGGCGAAAACGAAGAGATGGTTCGTAAAGAATTGGAGGAGGTTGAAGTGGAGGGGGACGAGAAAATCAGCATGTTGGAAGAAAGCTGTGTCGAAGCCGCCAAGGAAAGGGAGGAAAAGGTTCACCTCCTGAACGAAGCCACGCGCCGTATGGTGGTAATCAAACGCGATCTGCAGACTGCAAAAGAGAAAGAAGAAAAACATTTAGATACATACGAAAAATTGAAGGATACCTTGAGAAATTTCACCGAACAAACTAAGGAACTGGAGGAATTAGACGAAGAGGCTAGCGGGAAGGAGCAGCTAAACGAAGAAAAGATGAGGTTTCTGAAGGAACAAGTTAAAGAAGCCAACGGTAGAGCAGAAGTAGCCGAGAGGGAAGTTTCCAAACTTGAGCGGCTAAAGGAGGAAACGACCTCTGAAATAAAAAATTGGGGTGGAAAGATAAAAGAAATAATGCAGGAGATGGACGACATTACATGTTTGGACGACGAAATGTGAATTTTTACGTACGTGAGTCTGTATTCAGTTTGAACGAAGTCTTTTGGTACTTGATTAACACCCAGCTGAACTGACTTGTGAGGAGAATTTTTATGTAATCAGGCGCAGTCATGGAGTCCATCCCTTTAGTTTTCATTCTCTATCGTAAAATGTCTCCGAAATTTTCATTAAGGCATTTATGCAAATATAAAAAAAGCTAAATGTAATCCATTTGGCTTATTTACTCATTCGAGGTGTTGATTTTCCAGCTTCTCAAGGAAACAACGAAATGTTTTGTTTTCCGCTCTCCCGCAGTGCAGGTTAAGACCACTTATTGTTACATGATACTTAAACGTCGGAATAGTTTGTATTTCTTATATTTCTTTCGTGTGCATTTGTATTCAATTGGCCATTTTGTTTATCTTAGTCAGAATAATTAACGACCTGAAATTAAAATTTTTTATTTAAATAATCGGAACACTGTTTCTTTTAACTGCTCCTGGGACTATGTCGTTATTTTACGTGATAACCTCTGAGTAACACTGTTTTCTATGCTTAGGTTTCATGGTAATTTGCGGTCATGCTGTGAGGGTTCCGATGTTGTATGATGACCACTCACATGGACAAATTTCCTATATTTGAACCTGGCTAGATCTATTATGTCTCGTATGCTATTTCGTAACTAAATAACGGGAAATGTTCGGAATTTCTACCTGAATCAAAAAGACAATTTAGTATTTTAGGGAAATATATTGCGTGTGATAGCTGCAGTAAAAAATCACACCGCGGATTTTGTCGTCTCCTGTCCTGATCGAACGTCGGCTTGAAGTCTGTCACGCAATTCAGCGGGTGAACTGAACTCATCATTAGGCCTATCCAATATTTTTAGATAGTGGTGTAGATAAACGATTGTATGAATAAATTCGCAAAATAGAGATAAGAGATAAGACAAAAGTTTAATAATAACAGACTCGGCAGAATAATAGCTGGCAGAAAAGCCCCCTACAGCTCGCCCGCCCTTCGCGCTCTCGTCGTGTTTGCATCGTTTGTTTGAAAAGCGCAATAAAATTACGCCTGTTTGAGTTGTTGGGTGAGAAATATGTAAAAGGATAAATAATTTAATTAATCACTTGAGAGTATGCCGATAAATAACTCGATAATTTGGAGAAGAATCGCAACTCGACTGATGTCACGGAAGTCCAATGCACTGGTTGTGATAAAAAAGTACTCGATTCCACTCCTTCACTTCCAGCATAGAATTTCGCGACGTCATAAACTGTCAGCGGAATTCTTCGAAATTTACACTCGGATTAGTTGACGC